ATTGTTTGTTAATATTTTTTATCTAGGTAGAATCCTGTAGTCTTCTTCAATACGATACTTCCTTATCAATCGCAAATCGACCACTCATTTATCAATCTGACGATTATTAATCCTTTTTCATCGCGAAATGGAATATTCAGAGATGCACACACATAGTTTAAATCATATTTTTTTATATAAAAAGTAATTAATAATAAAAACTCACCAATTTTCGTAGATACAGCGCCATGTTAGCGAACTCGTCGCTCAGCAGACACCTCAAGTTCATAAACGATGTCGGATACCCAACCACTTTCTCCGCGTCTCTTATGATATTACTCCAATTAGTAAACGGAGGTCTTAACAGAATTAAAATTTCGTCTTTCGTAAAACTAGCAACAGTCGATTCCAATCTTTTTTGGCAAAAGATTGGGGATGCGCGCCTCAAAACGCGGGAAACGGCGTATGAGACCGCCATGACAGCTTTTTAACTTTTTAATTTCTTTTTTTTATAGGCAGCGGCGTCCGTTCGGTCGGACGGCTGTATGTGTAATAAGGTTTTTATATCAAGTGGCTCTATGGGAGACCAGGTGTAGAATGAAAAATTTGCCTACATTTTTGTGTTTATTATAATTGAAGGTTATGTGTTATGAATATTTGTATCATTTAGCACCTTATGTGTTATTTATTCAAATATGGTTGATTCTAATGTGATGTGTATTTTTGTTTAAATGAATGACTTTGCGTTATTTTTAGTTATTCGTCAAGGTATCAATTGGAATTATTTGTTTTATTTGTAAAAGACTTGAATGTTTGTTTTAGTTTTAAGTTAGAGCTTAAAGATATAATAATGGCTAAAATATTATCAATATTCTTTACAGTGACAATAATAGTCATAAGAAAATTTATTTGATACCATTAATCTCATTTCAATCTATATTTTAAAAAAATACCAATTTTAACTTTTTAAGTTCCTAAGCAATTTTCACTCGTGTATAGTGAATATCTCTTACCCAATTTTGAAGTTAGTTACCAAAATAAACAAAAAACAAGCGGAATATGCTAAAATACTGCAAAAATTGTTTATTGTATCGTCAGTGTTAAAATTTCAGATCATAATAAAATTATATATCTTTAAATTTCTAGTGATAGTTATGATCATTGATCACCATAGATCAAAAACACAAATATTTAGGAATGGCCATTCAAAAACCAAATACTTCGCAAATAAAACAAAACTCCCACAAATCGAGGTAAATGTTATTACCTGGCAACACCGTGTTCTTGACCGTGAAGTGGAAAGTAGCGTTGAACTAGTATCCAAACCACACACCATTTACCGTCAATAACAAAAATCACATTCAAATACCAACCTTACTGCACCGAAATAGGAATCCAAAACAAACTTTCTCAACTACGCAAAGAAATTTTGTCAAGATGCGATAGTGGCCAGTTTAGGAGAGATCTCTTGTGTTGTGGTTTGGTAATCAGTGGATGGGTCAAGTTATGTTGGTACAACGGGTTCTTTAAAATACTCTTTTTATTGTAATGTTGAATGAATTTCTCCTTTATTCCAGTTTGGTATAACACGTTTCTCGTAACGGCCGTATACTTAAACATTATTTAATATTAAAGTTATTTTAGGGCCTTATTACCCAAGTTTGTTGTGTTCGCTTAAAACGAATGCATGATGCGTGCGATTTATGGGTTTCGGGTTCGATTCCCGTGTAAGGTTAATAATAAAAATAATTCATTTATTTTAGGTTAGGTTTTTTTTTATCCAAGAGGGAGTTTAATGCGACGCAATGCGCAAATCTTATCTGCTAAGTATTTGATACAGATTTGTATATGACATGAATTGGGGCATAATTATTATGAGACTTATATACTTAAACATAAAAGGTGGTTGTTTACAAAGAAAATAATAATGATTGTGTTTGAGTGTGTTAATGTGTACGTGCTAGTGTGTATGAGTGTTGTTTAAGTGTTATTGAAATTTTTGAGGGTATTTACGAGGTTAGGTATTTTTCAGGTTAGGTAAGGTAACGTGGTTTCTTCAAATTAAATAAATAAAATACAACCTTATACATACATATCTATATCCTGCAAATCTGTAATATAATATACCCTGTAAGGGCCAAAGGGAATGTCAAACACGTACTGACTAAAAACGTTCATCACCGTACATTCTTTCTACTGAGTCTTTTATATGGTTTCAGCTAGCGTTTATTCTTATCGTCCCTAGAAATTATATTTAAGGTAACAGCTTATAATACTTTAGCTGACCGGTTGTAGAGTTTGAGACCTCTTGTTTACCTGGGCGACTTTCAACCTTAAATAGTATATACACATATCAGCTACAGCATGTTACCTACTGAACCTAGGCCTCTCCTCATGTCAGTTGCAAGCAAACTACACCTAACGTACTCTCCAAACTTTGTCTGTTCGTCTATACATCTTGCAAATACTAATTGTTGTTTGAGCATACGGCAGTTATAAAATTGTTATTATTGGGTCAAAACAGCTAGTTACAAGTTTTAGGTTTATTTATAAATTCCATAGTAAAAATTTTGGTTTACGTATTCCTAAAAGTAGTAGGTAAGTGTGCGAGAGCCAAGCTTCGGCACGAATGGGTCGGCTCACTAGAATTGTCTCCTGTGTTGTGGTTGCGTTTACAAACATATCGCATACACATCATAACCAGACTCGGAACAACAATTTGTGGTTCACACAAAGAGTTGTTCCATGTGGGAATCGAACCCGCGACTCGTTGCGCGGCAACCATGCCATGCCATGGCGATAACCGTGCAGTCACGTATATATTGATTTTTTTTTAATGTGTTGTCCTATACAATTTTTTTAATCATTTTTTTCAATATAAACTTTGCCCCACACTAGGATTTTCTCCTGTGTCGTGGGTGCGTTTACGAACAAACAACTTCACGTACACATTACAACCAGACTCGGAACAACAATTTGTGGATCACACAAAGAGTTGTTCCGTGCGGGAATCGAACCCGCTACACGTTGTGCGACAGCCAGTTGCCCAGCCACCGCGACAACGCACGGTTGTAGTCACGTATATATTGAAACATTTTTGAATTGTAGACGCCCTACATGTGTGGTGAAGAATGCTTGGTCTATCGTGGGTCTGTTGCCTGTTGTGGTGGTCTATTGCAGTTCTTGGAGTTCGACATCCGATACTCCTTAAACTTGGCAGCCAACTAACGCAGGATCTTTTTCTTAAGATACAATGACCCATCCTTATATAAACTAGTGTCGAGTAAAGATAACCGATCCATTGACCGGCTTGTCCAGGGCAAGCTTGAAGGCACACGACCGCGTGGAAAGTCATCCAGGATTGTTTTGTTCTTTTGTTTGAGTAGCATATAACTCAAAATCTTGATGTCCCGGTTTATTAATAAATGTGGGAGGGTCATGCTTCGGCACAAATGAGCCGGCTCGACCGAAGCGATACGGCCTAACGGCCTTCGGGAAGACGAGCAGCAGTGCTATTCTATAAATGGCAAATCTCATCTCGAAAGTCACGCACCACTTCGCTTCTCATCTCGCCTGAGCCCGTCAAAATACTTACTTGTTTTAGTTCCTTTCACTTCGTTATTCACATGGTGGCGCCGATATACAATTCACTCCATTTGAGAATACGAAACTTTAAATACTTGAGCATGATTTCACCGCGGATTCCGGAGTGAGGTTAACGGTGGCCAAATGCTCTCTCTCCTCCATCCTAAATCGTAAAATCAAATCTTAAACCTACTGTCTCTACTAGTAGTTTAATTTCTTTTATTAAATATTATTTTATAAGTTAAGAATTATTTTAGTTCCTAAACTCAACATTGTTGTATTAGTTTGTTGTTTATTATTTGGTACCTTTTTTATTGTTGTATGATTATTATTTTTTCCTAATTATTGTACATATCTTCCCTTTTTTCTAATTGTTCATGCCAAATATATTATTTTTCGTTCTTCTTTCTTTCTTTCTTCTCTTCTGGTATTGGCGCCGATTGCTCACCATCAGGTGAACCAAATGTCAGTTTGCCGACATACTAAAAAAAAAAACTATTAATATTTTACAATTCCAACAGTTTATTCAAAAATGATTGTTTTTTGGAAACCCCAAGGCCGCTGCAACTTCTGTAAGCTAGAATCTACAGTAGATACAACCGTGAAAACACCGGAACACTGAAGTCTGGCGCGTCCCAGGGACATAAATGACTGTCTTGGATCCCGCAACTAAATAAATCAGATGATATTATTTGAGGAGAAGAAAACTAGAAATAGTTTCCACTTCGTGCAATAAATTTAATGCAGGATATAGAATGACTTAAGCTTTAAAGGTACAAAAAAGACTGTACAATACGCTAGTTTCCAACTAGTCAAATGCAATACTTTTATCCAAACGTCAAAAACGATACTTTTCTATGAAAATTAAATGAAAAACTGAGTTATGACGTCATTTAATTTTTACGTCAAATAGCTTACTTATTTCTGAATAATTAGGTAACAAAAATCTAAAACTTAGTGTATTGATCAATCGATGAATAAAAGTATAGTTATTTTTCAATATTTTATTGTATTGAAACGTCGAATTAATTTATTTTTGACCTAGGAAACTACTCAATCGGGAGAAGCCCAGTCATCAAACGCCACGGAAAATATACTATTGTAATGGGGGCTATGTTTGAGCTGCTAAAATTGTTTCCAGCACGTCGATTCTATAAAATTTGTTTGATTTTGAATTTTGTTCGAGTCCGAAGTGAGCATCGAAGTGACGGGGAAATAAAATTTGAGAATGCCACTTTTAACGTCATCTCATACTTTATCTATCAAAATGTTGCTGTCAATTTAGTTCAACTCGCAAGTGTAGCGCTAGTGTACTACTACTCACGGCGGATTCAGATTCGAAGTTTAGAATGAAGTCTTACAGAATCACACTGAAGTACGCACGGAAATTTGTTCTACATTCTACAAGGTCTTTATAACAAACTACACCTAATAAGACATTTAAATTATCTAACATATGTAGTGTCACAAATATTTATTGATCATTCTTTCTCTTCTCCCACCTTCTTTCCTCTTCAGTAAACTTTCTTCTTTTTTCCATCCCACATAAGAGAAGTTAATGTCCACTGTGTAGAGTACAATATTGGTAAAGCTGCTAGAATTAGCAAGAAGAACAGATAGAAGTAGACAGATCCTCTCAGAATGCCGAAGATCGGATATATCCATACTCCTTTCACGGCATGGACGGAGAATAGCCTGAAAGACCAAAATAGAAGAATTTTATTAAAATCATCATTTGTATGAGTACGTCATTTATACCGTTAAAATATTCAGTATCGATTTGTGATCTAAGCCTAAACAGCCGATCGCTTACCATCAGGTGATCCGTCTGCTCATTTGCCAAGTATTCCATAAAAAAAACTATAGTTCAGTCCTGATGTTCATTCAGCCGGGGTTGCGGGGTAAGCGCAATCAGGCACCACGACCTCGGCCCAGAACAGAAGAAGGAACACAGGGGTTTTTAGTCAGTAAGAGTCTGACACTCCCTCCCACCCGGCCCTGGGCAGGAGAAGTCATTTGATGATTTTCCCCTCACAAAAAAAAGGTCTGATGTTTAAGCGGGATTGCGGGGCAAAAGCAATATGGTGTAGCGATCTCGGCCTGGAGCTGTAGAAGGAACGGGGAGAATTTTAGTCAGTAAGAGTCTGAAATCGCTCGTGTCATTTTATAGAGAATTTGCTTTTCGACCCTCAAAAAACAAAACAGCAAGCCAAACACAAATCTGTCATAATAATTCTATAAGCAAGTTCGTTACCGTACCTCGGCACGAATGGAGCAGCTTAACCGGAATGACATTTCATCCACACAGAAGACATACGTGAAACAACGCTTTCGGAGGATACCGGCTCTAACTCTCCTTGCACCTATCGATTTGATACCTCTGGGCTTTGTCTCCCACTTTATCCTAACTTTGATTCTCTGTCATGTGACGTTTTAGTTATTATCGTAAGCCCAATCGTCCCCCTACCAGCCTGACGACCACACACATCCCCATCCCTATGTTTCTAAACTTCTAATTCCTGATGCCCCATTTTCCCAACCTCAAAAGGCCTGTACACCTCGTTTGTAACGCCAATTGCTTACCATCAGGTAATCAGATCGTTTGCCACCCAATTCCTACCATAACACTTTAAACAAAGTACTTACACGGAGAAATAAGTCAGGGCAACAGCTTCTACTCCCAAAATATGCCAAAAATGTGAACTAGGAGGCTTTCTCCTCCTAAACATAACCTCCCAGAGTGCAATAGGAAATATGTAGGTATGCATAATATGGTTAGAAGTCTTCGTGATGACCAGGTCAATGTCTGCTGGGAAGAGAAGACTCCTGTCGTAGTAGAAGAAAGACCAGAAGAACGTGAAGACCAGCTAGAATGAAAATAGAAAAATTGGGATTATTCATTGAGAATTTTTATTAGTTTATTTGCTGCTTAAATAGATGGGTCTTTGAAGGTTATTTCTAGTATTTTTTAGTTATTATTAGGTGTAGGTATGAGCATTAATCACCACGCTTGCTCAAGGCGGATAGGCGATTTCAAACTTATAATTAGAAATAAGAAGTCAGTAAGAATCTGACTCTTTCACCTCACCCTAATCGCTGACTCGCCTTCAAAACGAAAAAGAATATTACGAATTATATCTAACTAGCTTTTTCCCGCAACTCCGTTCGCGTGGAATAGTGGCTTCCTGCGGAAATTTGGTATAAAAATCTATCCTATGTCCTTTATCGAGTTCCAAACTATGTACGAAATTTCACAGAAATCGGTTCAGTAGTTTAGGCGGGAAGAAAAGACAGACAGACAGACAGACAGGGTTACTTCCGATTGTATAATATTAGTTTGGATATATTATGTAGGTATATTGGCTTTACATAATAGCTCCCAGACATTGTGACACCAATTAATAATAAAAACATTCTTGATAACACTTTGAGATATCTGCAATCGAAATTGTAACATATAAATTAACTTATAGGTCACGCGGCACGTCGTGTGTTATACATTGCTCGTTATGTTCGTAATGTTTGTGCCTGCGTGGCCGATTACGCGGTCTTCTGCGGCAATGTATGACAAACTCACCACGCGATCTCCTTGTAGTGTTATCAACATCCGAACACATTGATTGGTTATCGCAAAGATATTTTCGTCTCAGGGTCTCACAGTAATCAATGAATCATATTATTTTAAATTATATTTGCATTTGCAAATGTCGTTGTCCGGATATTCAGGCGTTCCGCTGTCATGCATGGGGGGGTTCTAAACTTGGCAAGTATCAATGTGACTTTTCCCGAGTTATAATTATGTACTTTCTATGATTATTTAGACACCACTGACATACGGTAAGGCAAACATCGTGAGGAAACCTGGACTTATAATTTCTAATTATAAGTTTGAAATCGCCAACCCGCATTGAGCAAGCGTGGTGATCAATGCTCTAACGTTCTCCGTGTGAGAAGAGGCCTTTGCTCAGCAGTGGGCACTTATAGGCTGATGATGTGTATGTTTGTAATGATGATGAAGATGAATATATTATAACAGTAAATTCATACTTACAACAGTTGATGGGTAGACTACGATAGTGAAGAAGGCGTCTCTGAGTTCAGTCAAAAGTTTGGGTAGTTCAAATGTTTTGTTTTCTGAATTCTTTAAAGTTAATACATCCGTGTAGAGAGCAAATACCGCGTATATTGTTTGGAAGAACTGGAACAGAAGAATAAAGGAGTAATTTAACCTCCTTGCAATCGTGGTAATTCGAGACATAATAGGTGCGCGAATGCCTTCGCTTGGGGTTTGACGAATTAAGTACTCTTTGATGACATTTATAGCATACTAGCTACTCTTGTGCAGTTTCACCCGCTACTCAGCTCATTTGATTGTAGCGTGATGTTTTATAGCCTATAGCACTCAGGAACATTGTAGCTATCTACCAGTGAAAGAATTTTGGCAATCCGACCAGCGGTTCCAAAGATTATCCCCTACATACAAATTTACAAACATACAAACTTACAAATTTTAGTGCTGATACAAAATTTCTTCCACTATTTAATGGATGTTATTATAAGTACTTACATACAGACCTTTCTCTTTAATCACTCTTAAGAACATCACATCAAAATTCAATATTTTTATCCTTTTTTTTGTCAGGAGAAAATCATCAAATGACTTCTCCTGCCCAGGGTCAGGCGAGATAGAGTGTCAGACTCTTACTGACTAAAAACCCCCCCGTTCCTTCTCCTGCTCTGGGCCGAGGTCGCGGTGACGAATTGCGCTTAACCCGCAAACCCGGCTGAACATCAGCCAGTCTATTGGCTCTTTGAGACGCGCGAGGAACGCTACGCGCCATACGCTCGGGTCTAGTTCTGGTCGGGCGGCGAGCTACCCTTACTCGCAGTTCGCAGACCCGTGCTTAGTCTCAATTCCAGATCAGGTATTCATTTACGACTTCTGAGAATAAGTTTGTGTGTTTCTATCACTGTATAGTACAAAACAAAGTCGCTTTCTCTTTCTTTATATCCCTATGTATGCTTACATGTTTAAAACTACGCTACGGATTTCGATGCGCCTTCTTAGTAGGTATAGTGATTGAAGAGGAAGTTTTTTTTATGTATTACAAGATCTATTTAATTTGAGACAAATTAAGTAATCAACATTGGACCCGTGCAAAGACAGGATGGTTCGCTAGCTATAAAAAAATATCAAAACAAAATATTTTAAGATCTACCTTCATTATGTACATTTGTTTTTTAATAAAAAAGAAACAGTTGATTAAAGAGGGATGGCGCTATACACCTTTCATAGCTCCATCCCTCTTTCTCGCGTGAAAGATTCACGTTTTAACACGTCATGGTATACCTACAGTTATTCATAATAATGATCCCTAGTCTGCACTGAATAATGTAAAAATACTTACAAAAGTCCAACAAGTAAAGAAAAAGAACTGCATCTCATTAAAGTGTCTGACGAAGGCGTTCTTCATGGGTTCCCCGTGGAAGGAGGTCATCATCACCGCCATGTTGGAGACGTGGAGCACTATGGTGGTGACGTAGCCCAGGATACGAAGGTAAGTGTGATGAGACATCGTCAAAGCTGGAATTTGGAGAAGAAGAAGACATAGAAAGTGGTGGAATAAACAGCAAACGAAAATGAAACTGAATCGCAAAGACCTAGTAGACGGATCCCCTGATGATAAGAAATTCGAGTCGCCCATCGATACCCTCAACACAAGAGGAGCGTACAAGCGTAGGCGGCTATTTGGGGGTAAGGTATTTGTGGGTTAACCAATAGACCATCACATATGGGGCCGACATGGCCAACGTTTAGCTGGGGTCGCGGGACAAGAGCAATATGGTATCTTAGCCACAGCCTAGACCCAGAAAAGGTCTTTAGTCAGAGTTCGACCATAGTATAAAGAGAAGGGCAGCAGGCTATCTCCGGCCCAATCCGCGATATAATTGCCTACTGTCTTAGGGTTGTCACTTGTAGCAAAATTTTAATTCAGTGCCTATAAATTGGCAAGGGTCGGGATGTTGTATTTTTTACTTGTATTGTCTGGGTACAGGGTTTGTGAGGTGTGACTCTTTATGTCGCTAGATGACACAGGCGGTAACATAGACTAAGAGCTAGTGTTAACATTTTTTTCTCATTGTATTTTTTTTTAAGGCATAATGTAGTATTTTTACACATAAAGGAACATATTTATTTTTAATTAATACTACGATTAGTCTCCTACGATTATCAGACATTTTGATTTAGCGGTGCCGAAAAACAATGACGCGCGAATCTCGTGTTGTGTTAGCCCTGACTGGCGCACTGAGAAACGGGTCGAGATTTTGTTACAGTGTGCGTGCGTCGACTTGTAGATACTATGGCGCACACATACAAGCCGCGTGCTGTGCGTTTGTATGAAGATAACCTACTTCCCTTCTCTTTATACTATGGTTCGACACTACTCTAGCAATACCCTTGACGAGAGAAGTCATTTGATTCCGTCCACAAAAAGGGATTTTAGGGTTAAAGGATTTGGCGGTGGGAGGGTAGAAAATACTAGGCAAGACAAAAACAAACGTTGCTTCACGCCGATTTTCTATGAGGCCGTGGTATCACTCCGATCGAGCAGACCCATTCTCTAGCCGTAACATAAGTACAGTAAGCATAGCATAAATACTTCGCAACGTAACTATTCCTCTGCTTACCCTATTACGGAAAAGGCAAATATTACATATAAATTGAACGCATTAACCAAGTGCGCACGCACATTATACATTATATACTTACTAGTAGTTATGTATGTATGTGTATATATACGCTTCAATGAAGGTAAAGTGTAATGACCTCTTCGTTACAGTGTTATCTATATAAAATCGAATATATAGCTACTTACACATAAATCGTAGCCTAATAGTGCAATAAGTTATCGAACAAACGGCCTGAAGCTGAAGCTTTATTCTTTAGGCTGTGTGAACAGACTGAATGAGAAATTTAGTAGTATTCAGGCTATTGGTTGAACGGCTATATTAACCAGTTGACTGCAACATCATCATCATCATCAGCCTGATATTGTCCACTGCTGGACATTGGCCTCCCCAATTGCACGCCACTGAGCTCGGTGTTCAGCTCTTCTCATCCAACCACTGGCACCCACCCTGCGGATGTCGTCAGTCCACCTAGCTGGAGGGCGCCCTACACTTAGTTTGCCTAGACGTGGTCTCCACTCTAGAACACGTTTACCTCAACGCCTGCAACATAAATACTACAAAAAACTTCGCCAGACTTCGATATCAATTCTTTTTTTTATGTTATAAGTCGGCAATCGAGCAGACGGATTGCCTGATGTTAAGCAATCGGCGCCGCCCATGGACACCCGCAACACCTAAGGAGTTACGAGTGCGTTGCCGGCTTTTTGGGGATAGGGGTTGCGGATATAAGGATTGGGAAGGGATAGGGGAAGGGGAGGTATTGGGCCTCCGGTAACCTCACTCACACGGCGAAACATAACGCTGTGGGTTGTTTCACGCCGGTATTCTGTGAGGCCGTGGTATCACTCCGGTCGAGCCGACCCATCCGTACCGAAGCTTGGCTCTCCCACACTTAAAACCTAACCACACTTAAAATTCAAACCTTATAAAAAATCTAGACTTAGAAAAAATGAATTTAAATATATTTAAAAGTCTAGGTCGTCTATAAAAAGTCTAGATTTTAGAAGCCATGACCTTAGTCTGAATGATCTTAGTCTCAAGACTTTAGTCGTCATGAGTGATTGGAAAGCCTGCTCCACACGTTGGTGCCAACGTTGGCTTCACACACAATGTGTATTGGCCCAACACATTGGCCCCATGGGTATTGGTCCAACACCTTGGCCCCATGTGTACAGCCGGTTATAGGGCCAACGTATGAAGCTGGCGTACCCGTCACACAATCGCAACAAGACATTATACATCTCTACTAATAATAGGTCTTTACCTGTGAAATTGCCGTTCTGCAGTACTGGCCATTTCTAATCAAAATAGTTTTTGTTAGGCTAAGGCTAATTAATTTTGTTTTAAAAACATGGGATTCTTTTTCCAAAAGTAGTCATTTGTTTATTGATTAGTGTTACATTTTCATCGCATTTCAAATCAAAAATTTCGTTTAAATTTTTTCATGCAAAACGGCAATAAAATTGCCGTTTAGGTAAAGACCTGTTATTATAAAGAAGTAAAATTTTGTAAGTTTCTATGTATGAGGTAATCTTTGAAACCGCTGGTCGGATTTCCAAAATTCTTTCACTGATAGATAGCTACAATGTTTCTGCGTGCTATAGGCTATAAATTATACTTGATATGCGTATTTAAGTCGAGCTATCACTTTAAACGCTGTTTTGTTTTTATCTGGAATATACTACTGTTATACATATGTGTCCGAAGTCGCGTACGGAAGCTAGTTACGATAAAAGTATGTGATGTAATGTATAAATTTACAAGTATTTACCACAGTACGTAGTTTTAATTTGTTTGTTTACAAATTCCTATACACTAGTAAATATCTTCTTATATGTATAGGTATATAAAAATGAATTTTTCGACTGCACGGTTGGTGCGGTGACTGGGCAACTGGCTGCCGTGCAACGTGTCGCGGGTTCGTTTCCCGCACGGAACAACTCTTTGTGTGATCCACAAATTGTTGTTCCGGGTCTGGGTGTCATGTGTATGTGGAATTGTATGTTTGTAAACGCACCCACGACACAGGAGAAAATACTATTGTTAGGGGCATTTAAAAAAACTGAAAAAAACTGAATTGCTGTTTGTTAGTCCTGTTTTTTAGTCTCACTAAAACTCAAGAACGACTGGTCCGTTTTCGATGAGTTTGTTAGTAACATATTCGTTGAAGTCTAAGGAAGGTTTAAAAGGTCTGAATACATTACTTAATTTGAAGGCCGCCTTCAAATTAACTATATAGTACTATAGAGTATATAGAAGAAATTGCTGTTTGTTAGTCTCGCTAAAACTCAAGAACGGCTAGTCCGTTTTCGATGAGTTTGGTAGTAACATATTCGTTGAAGTCCAAAGAAGGTTTAAAAGGTCATCATTTAGTTATATTTGAGTTAGTACTAAGTTCGTCGGATGAAGTCTTATATATAAAAACGAATTAAGAAATTACTTACTGTTCGTTAGTTTAGCTAAAACTCGGAAATTGCTCGACGGACTTATTGAATTTTAAACTTGAAGTATACATGTAATGGTCATTGAAGGGAAAACAAAAAAAAATTCGTTTAGGTACTTATGTATAGAAAATTACAAAAAATAAAACATCAATTCAATTCTGAAAGGATCCGATACTAATTTCTATTCTGAAAGGAAAATTATATATTACATATTACATATTTTTTCATTTAAACTTCTTACAACAATTTTATTGCCCATTCTAACTTCTATTTAAGTCATAAGTCACATAACGAACGAACATAAGTAACAAAACAAAACAGTTAATAAGTTTTGTATAATATTTATTTAAAACGTTTTGAAATGGCACAGTATTTAAATTGTGAAATAATTATCAAAATCGACACAGTAGTTTCTTCATTAGACTTCAATTAAGTATGTGAGAACCAAGTGAGAACCATCCCACTCCACGAATGGTTCAGCTCGACCGGATTGATACCATGGCCTTACAGAAATCCGGCGTGAAATAACCACAGCGTTATATTTCGCAATGTGAGTGAGGTTACCGGAGGCCCAATATTTCAGTCCCCTAATCCCTAAATATCCAAATTTCTTATCCCCAAAAGGTCAGCAACACACTCGTAGCTCCTCTATTGCTTCGGGTGTACACGGGTGGCGCTGATTGCCAATCTTTCACAAATAAAAACAGACCCACACTAAAATACAAATGAATTATGAATTGTCTTTATAGTATTACCTAGCCTAAATTGATTTTAAGACCACCAACATACCTTCCAACTTCCAACGCTTTAGTTTCTGATATATGGCTCCTTAGACTAGCAAAGAACTAAAACGGACTGTGTGATTGAACAATTAAATTGTAGTATTAATAAAACTGTTTTTCCTTGTCTTTGACGCTATTTAAAAGCATTTCCGTGTGACGCAATGCAATTAAAAAACTAACTTTTAATGTATACCTACTTATAACAGATTACTGTCTGAGATTATGAAAAAAAAATAAGTAGGTACATAGACAAAAAATACTCACGTACTATTCGTTCGAAATTTAAAAATTCACAGCTTAAATATTAACATAGGATTTTAAAATTATCGTATGTAACCTTCATTTACTTAAAACACAACACAACGTGAAATTTACATTTTTTTAATTTAAAACTAAACAATTGCTTTTTCGTTGACGACAATTTGTTTAAATAAATTGTTCTTTTTTTAAATTTAAATTTAAATACAACACACGTTCACACTGAACGCGCAATACAACAACACTGAAGGTATTTATACGTATTTGTATGATAAGTATACGTAATACTGATTTGATAATTTTGTAATAATTAAGCACCTATTAATTAATATCACTTATCTTCTTATGTATAAAAATGTCGTGTCACAATGTTAGTTCCCTTGCCTACTCCTCTGAAACGGCTTTAGGTACTGAATTTTACCAAATTGTATATAGTTGAAGTAGGTCTGCGAATCTGTCAACTGGCAATTTTTTATATTCCTGGTTATATTTTGTGCGAGGAAAATCATCAAATGACTTCCCTCATCCAGGGTGAGGTTGGTTTTGGCTCCTCATACGCCTTCCAAAGGTCCGGGACCCTGTGATCCCGAAATGGAAGTGAACATACAAATTTAAAATTGATACAACATCCAGTCTTTACTTATCAATTATTTTACTAACGTCTAGTTGCAAAAGTTGGACCCATGACCATACTCCATCCAAGACTGTCTTCTTTTGAAAAAAGCCCCAGACTCGATCCTTCCAAAAAAGCCAAGCTTCGGTATGAATGGGCTGGCTCGACCAGAGTGATACCACGGCCACCGAATACCAAACACAGCGTTGTGTTTCGCCGTGTGAGTGAGGTTACCGGAGGCCCAATCCCTGATCCTTCAAAATCCTCAAATATTCAAAACCCTTATCCCCAAAAGCCCGACAACGTATTCGTAACTCCTTTGGTGTTGCGGATATCCATGGGTGGCGCTGAAAGCTTGCCATCAGGTTATCCGTCGGCCCGTTTGCCGACCTATGTCATGAAAGAAAGAGAAGGAACGGGGGATTTTTCGTCAGTAAGAGTCTAACACTTCCTCAAGCCAAACTCTAGGCGAGAGAACTCATTAGATAAATTTTCCATAATCAAAAATAGTCAAACTTTTTTCGAGGAATTCACGCTCGCAATAAATCAACTATCAATGCAGTCTAATTTAGCATAATGATCAACTTCCTAGTATTTTATTTAAGTGCACAAGTGAGAATCAAGTTACGGCCGGAATACTTTCGCGGCTGGTCTAAGGTCATCCTCTTTGGAGGGGCTAAATATAAATATGAAACTAAAATACCACCTACACAGACACCCACAAAATACCTGCACTTTTTTGCAAACGTCGCCTAGTATACATTAGTTAACGCCCGCGCCTTCGCCCGCGTGGTATAAAAGCAGCCAGAAATAAATAAAAAAATAAATATACTCAAAGTCTTGCTTACCAAATGTTTCAGGGTTTTAGGGCTAGTGGGTCAAGCGCAATAAGGTACTGCATCTTCAGCCTGGAGCAGGGTAAGGAATGGAGGGTTTTTAAGGCAGTAAAAGTCTGATACTCCCTCTCGACTTACTCGAGATATATGTGATAGAAATATTTATGTGATAGGTCAGCAAACGAGCAGACGGATTAACTGATGGTAAGCAATCAGCGCCGCCCATGGACACCCGCAAACAGAGGAGTTACGAATGTGTTGCCGATCTTTTGGGGATTAGGGATTTGGGAGTTATATGGATTAGGGAGGGAAAGAATTGGGCCTCCGGTAACGTCACTCACACGGCGAAATAAAACGCTGTGGTTTTTTCTGTGAGGCCGTGGTATCACTCCAGTCGAGCCGACCCATTTGTGCCGAAACATGGTTCTCCCACACTTACGTACACACAAGTAGTGTGAAAATTATGGCGAACCCTCTTGTATAGAAGAAAGTTTTAATTCAGTAGGAAACTGGTTCAAACTGTTAGTCTGTTAGTAACTAATATGTCCAAACTACCCAGTTTTAGCTTCACCAGCAGTACCTACCTTTTTTGTCAGGGGAAAATCATCAAATGTCTTCTCCCGCCGAGGGTAGGCGAGAGAGAATGTCAGACTCTTACTGACTAAAAACCCCCTGTTCCTTCTCCTGCTCTGGGCCGAGGTCGCGGTGACTCATTGCGCTTAACCGGCAGCAGTACCTTCCTACCATCGTAAAAAGTAACCTATACTTTAATCCAAACTGTCATCTATCTCTAAGCCAAATTTCTTAAAAATCCGCTTAGTAGTTTTTAAGTAAAAAGATGACGAACACACATCCATTGGTACGTGCATTATTCGAATTAAGTTGGTTGACCTTGCATTTTAATAATTGTGTATTTGTATAGGTATTATTAAATAAATTAATTCAATATAATAATACCCACTGTTGTTCACGTACAAAATGCGACGGGTCAGATAGTTCAGTCGGTGTGTTGATTATTATTCCGATTCCGACTAAGTATTAACCATTACATAATTTTATCTGGCACGTTATTTAGTCATGTAATAAGAGATTATTTTTATTTACTAGCTTCTGCCCGCGACTTCGTCAAACTCGTCTCGTCTTCCAATCCCAAAATTCAAATCCCTAATCCTCCGGCACCGTGGCCTCGGTCATATTATAAATACAAAAGTAACTTTGTCCGTCTGTCTTTTCTTCACGCCTAAACTACTGAACCTATTTGTGTGAAATTTATTACAGATATAGTTTGGAACTCGAGAATGGACATAGGATAGTTTTTAAAACAAAAATCTGCAGAAAGTCACTATTCGCCGGCTAGTTATCAAATAAAGGAAAACGATAGACTGCCTTGATAAATATTGATTGGTATGACGTGGCATTGTTCGGTTGCCATAGTTACTTATGTACCACATATTTTCCGATATTGTACTTTATTATTCAGATAATAAGTAATCCAATTGAGTGGTCGCAAGCGCGAGTAATTTATTGCGTGACAGTCAACCAGTACCTATATAATTAGACTAGCTATTCTCGCGCGGTTTCACCCGCTGCTCGGCTCCATTTGATCGTAGCGTGATGTTTTATAGCCTATAGCACTCAGGAATATTGTAGCTATCTATCAGTGAAAGAATTTTGGCAATCCGACCAGCGGTTCCAAAGATTACCCCCTACATACGAACTTACAAATTTTATCTCTTTATAATATTAGTATGGATAATTAGTTTGCTAACATAACCAGATGCAGGAATCTGACTGAAGTTTTAGAACTAACTATCGTGATACAAAATCTATTGAAAACTAGCTTCTACCACGGTTTTACCCGCTTCTCGGCTGCTGTTGGTCGTAGCGTGATATTATATAGCCTTCCTCGATAAGTGGACTATGTAGCATGAAAAGCATTGTTCAATTCTAACCAGTAGTTTAATTTAGTCCAGAAAACAAATATTTTAAGAAATATGATTTTTAGTAAAAACGTCAAGTTCTAGTTTAGCTAAAGGAATTTTTGAAATTAGTATTTTCATCTTCATCCTTCAGTGTAATAATAATGATAGAACAAAATAAAATAAAACACAAAATAATAATACCTACACAACGAAATAAAATAAAACACAAAATAATAATGTATAAAAAAGTATTATTACTTAAAAATAAAAACACTTTTTAACAAAATTTTATTTAAAGGCACCCGTACCTGTTACATTTATTATTATTATCATTAAAAAATAAAATAAATAAAAATTGTCCTAAGTATTGTTTCATTTTTTATACTTAAACAAAATAAAAAATGAATTATTTAGTTTTCTTTTCCAATTTCGCCTTTTTCTTTTCTGCTTTTTTCTTTGTACCGTGCAGCATTTTAGTTAAAGGCCATTGGATGTAATAAAACGCGTAGAACATTAGGCCTATGGCGGCTAAGGCTATGAAGAAATAGATTGTGCCAAATAGCTTCCTAAAGATGGGATATAGCCATACCCCTCTTTCGATGTAGGTGAAGTACATTCTGAAACGAAAAAAAATATTAATAATTAGCTAAGAATTGTTAGTTATTTAGAAGATCGCGTGTCGGCGTTCAACCAAGAGCAGGAGAAGGAACAGGGGGTTTTTTCGTCAGTAAAAGTCGAAGTCAAAGAGAGCATTAAGGAGCGTGACAATCCAATGACTTGTCACACTCTGAGTGGAGCGAGAGAGTGTCAGACTCTTACTGACTAAAACCAATTCCAGCCTGTTACTACAAGAAGTCTTATTAAATCTAAAATGTGGTATCGCCATATAAAAGGCAGATGGCACTTTCTTCTATAACCGTACCCATGGACATAGAGAAAGAAAATTTTTAAGACTCGGTACGACCTTTCCTTGCTAGTCACCGTTGATCAAATTGTTGTGTCCGGCAAAAATTGTCAGTAGATTTTACTGATATAAATGTGAGCCGGGATATAAGACGGCCTGGAGTAGCAGGACGGGGTGGTTTATAGTCAGTCACAATCTGGTACTTCCTCTTGTCCCACGCAGGGCAGGAGAACTCGAATTACCTAGATAAAATTTCCACATTGAATAAGCCGGTAGATTCGGCGTCGATTCACCCCCGACTTGAAAAGCATGTTAAATTTTTTGGGATTACCGTAAAACGGGGTGAATAAAATTTGAGAGCCAGCAAATTACAGTAGCATCGGAGCTACGAACTCCCGTAACATTTTACATTCTCGGCCGAATTAACAGTAACTGAACGGCCTCGAGAATTTTTCAAAAAGTAAAGTCTGATGATTCCGAAAAATTGTTTAAATAAAACTGTTTCACGCAGTAAGCGACTGAAAGAAGAGAAACCAAGAAGCGAGCTAGTGCGACACCCGCGCCCGTGCCCCGCGCGGCCATAGTTTGCGTGGTAAGTTACATTTAAACGTTAACGGATTCTTGGCCCACTCTGTACATTCTAAGTAACAAGTGAAATTTTGTATCTCCTTCCGCTTCGACAAAATGGTTGATTTTCCTATGTTAATTATTGAATTTTCCCAACGATGTGCTTTGACTCTTTGTAGAAAATGACCCTTTTTTGAGGAGGCAATCATCAAATGACTTCTCTCGCCTGGGGTTTGGCGAGTGTCAAAATCTTAGTGACTAAAAAACCCTTGTTCCTTCTGCTGCTCTAGGCCGAGGCCGCGGTATCTTATTGCGCTTGCCCTGCAACCCCAGTAATTTATTGGCTCTTTGAGGAACGCTACAAGCTACTACGCGCCATAAAATGACCCTGAACTAACTATGGCATATAAAATAACAATAAAAAAATACTTACACGCTAACATAAACGCAGAGGTGCAAAGTCAATTGCATGACATTCCGCGCATGTGTCTCAGGTTCTTGTCTCGGTCTAAACATGACCTCCCATAGTACAACAGGCACTATCATTGTGTGGATCACGTGGTTTGAAATGGGTGGAATGACCTCGTCCAAAAACTTTGGGAAAATTAAGGACCTATCGTAGTTGTAAAGACCCCAGAAGACTGTGAAGACTACCTGGAAAAAAGTGTTTTGAAAATGGAAAAATTTGGTCTTTTAAAGTAAAGTCCTGTAACGAATTTGGCTATCACAAGGGGGCAACCATAAATTACATGAGGTGTTTAAGTGTTAAAATATTATACTATTTTTGTCTATTTAATTCAGAATGTACATTAATCTTAAGCGTAATCGTTCATCATTTACTAATAAAAGGAAGATGCAATAATTTGTTTTTTTTTACAATAACAATCCAACGCGTTTACCTAAGAAACTCTGATTTTGAAAAATCTCACGTGATCTCACTGGGGAGGAGGGAGGGGCAGAAAATTTAAAAAAACACCTCACGTAATTTATCCCTAAGGCATTTTTGGAATTGGAAGACAACTTTTTAAATGTAGGAGAGCTACATATGCATATTATGCTTCGGTACGAATGGGTCGGCTCGACCGGAGTGATACCAAGGGTCTAACAGGAGACCGGTGTGAAAGAATACTTGCATTGTGTACCACTGAGTGAGGTTACCGGAGGCCCAATCCTCTTAACCAAATCTCCAAGTACCCTAATCCCTAAAAACACTCAAAAGCCTGGTAACGCAATCAAAGTCAAAGTCAAAATCATTAATTTCAATTAGGGCACAGTGGGCACTTTTGAACGTCAAGCAAAAAAAAGAAAGTATATTTCAAGAGGTTTAACTTTATGCGTGTAAGTCTGTCCTCTAGTGAAGCTATTTGCTCGTTCCAAAGTGTAGATTCCTATGGAGAAGAACGAGCAAGAAACTCCATTACACTTGTAAGTGATTCAGTGCGGCAGGTGTCCTGGGCGACGCTGTTTGCTTACCATCAGGTGATTCGTCTGTCGTTTGCAAACTTTCTTTTTATGTAATTGATCGGCAAACGAGCAGACGGATTACCTGATGATAAGCAATCAGCGCCGCCCATGGACACCCGCAACGGACCTTTTAGGAATTAGGGATTGAGGAGAAATTGGGGGAGGGGAAGAATTAGGCCTCCGGTAACCTCACTGACCTCCACCTTCGGTAACTTAACCCTTAAAAATCAAAATTTGATGACTGGCTATACTATAGTACCTATTTTTCCTATGTTTTATGTTTAAATACAGCCTACTAAACGGTTGAAAATTTTGGAAAAATTCGGAATCAATTCTTAATGTTAACAACTTACAATAGAACATGGCCACACCAGACCAGCGAATAGGATCTCCCTAAACTCTGTGATGGGCGACGGCAGCTTGTAGTCTTTCTTCTTCGCGTTCTTCAAGATGAAGTATTCGCAGGCCAGCGCGTATACTGCGTACGCTAGTTGTAGTATCTGAAATAAACAAAATTTCAGGGTTATTTGTGGAATAATTTGATTTGGAAAACTTAATTTCTCACCATATATGTATGTTATTTTCGCAAAGAACGCGAAAAAGGTCAAGTTTTATGGACTGTCCTGCGAAAATCGCATGACTGACTTGACCATGACTTGGGGCCGGCGAAGTCATGTCAAGGGCCATTGGGCCATGAAGGCCAAGGTTCCAGACTCAGAACCACCACCTGTCCTCTGCTTGGACATCCCTGTTACCGTTCCCACTCCTCAATTAACACGAACTTGCAGATTTTTCTAATTAGATTATAGTGGAAAGAAAAACCTTGAAGAATGGAATGTTTAATTAAATTTTCAGAGTTACAATACTATTGTATTTTTTATAATGTGGCCTTTGACTTAAACGGACTCAGATTTAAATAAATCCTGGGCAAAGAAAATATGATAGAAATTCGTATGACAGAAAAATCGTTGCATTTCGCTAGTTTTTTCTCCTGTGTCATGGATGCGTTTACTAATTCACATACACATCACACCCAGACCCGAAACCACAATTTGCGGATCCCATAAAGATCCGTTTCCGTTCCCTGCGAGAATCGAACGCTTTGAATTCGCCTAGTCATCTGCACCAACTGAGCAGTCATTTCGCGAATCGGAATAAAAATCCTCGACTGAATAGTATGAAAACAACGAACTTTTATCTTGGCCCGGAGGTTAAGGCGCCCGCTTCTTATGCAATAAGAAGATGAGTAGGAAACCTGGCAGTACCAACTGTAACTTTTTCTGAGTCATGCGTACTTCAAATTCAAATTTATTTATTTGCAAACTAAGTGTATACATAGGTCTTATTGCTAGTGGCACTTAAAAACTTAGTAGCCTTTCTAAGTTCATTGACACACGGTGAAAAAAATTAAACTGATAATTTCAAATTTTAAGTTTGAAATCTTGAGCCTTGAGCAAGCATGGTGATTAATATGCTCAAACCTTCTCCTTGTGAGAAGCGTCCTTTGCTCAGCAGTGAACACTTATGTTCCTGATGATGTGAAGCGAAAAATAAATACTAACTAATATTATAAAAGCTAAAGTACAGACATAGTTTGGAACTCGAGAAAGGATATAGGATAGTTTTTTAACCAAAAATCTGCAAGAAGTCACAATTCCACGCGAACAAATACTTACAAAAGTCCAAGTAGTGAAGAATCGGTACTCCAAACTCTTGAACTGAAGCACCTCCTTAGAGTTCCCAGCATTCCTCTTTGAGTACCAGGCCATGAAGACTATGTTGGAGACGTGCATCAATATCGTGGCTACATAGCCACCCATCCTCATGTTAGCCAAACGCATTTTCCTGGAAAAACAGAAGAGAGATTAGGTCTTTACTTGGAGTCAGTTCTACAATGTACCGAAAGGGGTAATTTTTTTGGAACGGAGCGGTCATCGAGCTGAGGATCGCTTGGTGGTAAGCAGTTAGAGCCGCCCTTGGACATTCCAAAGGAAAGTCCGTTTCTGGTCTTATGGGGATAAGGATAGAGGGGAACCCATCTACAAATCCCCCAATCCTCTGGGTGTGTTTTTTTTATTTATTTAATAGGCCGGCAAACGAGCAGACTTACCATCAGGTAATCCACCTGATGGTAAGCAATCAGCGCCGCCCATGGACACTCGCAACGGATGAGTTACGAGTGCGTTGCCGACCTTTTAGGGATTAGGGATTTGGAGTTTTAGGGATTTAGGAGGGATTGGGGAGGGGAAGGATTGGGCCTCCGGTAACCTCACTCACACGGCGAAACACAACGCTGTGGTTATTTCACGCCGGTTTTCTGAGGCCGTGGTCTCACTCCGGTCGAGCCGACCCATTCGTGCCGAAGCATAGCTCTCCCACACTTTTAAAGTTCTATATAACTGGGTTTAAACGGAATCACCTATAATTTTGGTAAAATGGTCGGATCTGCTATGAAAAAATATTCTGCTTTTACCTATCTACAAGAAATGTATGTCATGATGTTATCTTATAATAATTCTCGTCTAAAGTAACGGACGGACATTTCTATTTTTATATCTATACTAGCTACTCTCTCGCGGTTCCACCCGCTGCTCGGCTTCATTTGATCGTAGTGATGTTTTATAGCCTATAAGCACTCGGGAACATTGTAGCTATCTGTCAGTGAAAAAGTTTTGGCAATCCGACCAGCGGTTCCAAAGATTACCCCCTACATACAAACTTACAAATTTTACCTCTTTATAATATTAGTATAGATTTAGTTAACGCTACATAAAGATAACTTAGTTACTGATAATTATAATGTTATCAGTATTTCATTCATGATATATTATCTATACATACGGTTTATTTATTGAGGCCAATGATAAAGCACTTTAGAATTATTATTATTAATGATTCAGTTTACCGAGAGCCACTGCTTTTGTGTTGGAAGTGGATTTCGTGGTTGAGGATGGAGGAGGGGAAAGAATCTGTCCTCCTGTAACCTCACTCTAGAGTAATCCAGATTATCACTCTCAAAGTCCAAATCATTTATTTCAATTAGACCCATACAGGCAATTTTGAACGTCAAACTAAATTTTAAAGATATGAAGTGTCAGTCTGTCGGTCAGTCCTTTTAGTGAAGCTATTTGCTCGTTCCAAAGTGTAGATTCCTATGGAGAAGAAATCCCATGGTTAGGTATTCTTTTTAAATCAGAGTCACATAAAGATTCTTTGATAAAATATGTACAACTCTGGTCGAGCCGTCCTATTAGCGCCGAAACATGGCTTTCCCACTCATTGTGTGTTCCACAACTTGTTGTTTCGGATTTGGAGTCAAGTGTATGCGAAATTATAGGTACCTACGTTACAAGTTAAATAATAGTACGTTATGGTTTAGGTGTGCAACGATTACCGCAGAGCCGCATTGAGGCCCGATCCGTCAGGCGAGGGTTTAAGGAGCCGAGGACGGTAATCATCAATACACACGTGTGAATCTAAATAAAATACCATTTTAAAATGTCTCGTAACGGCGGGAAAAATCAGTTTTCATATGCGCGCGCATCGGTCATAGACTAAAAAATTAAGTTTCTTTTTATGGGCTTTTCGCGGATACGATAGCATTTTTGCGCAAATTTAAGCTGTAACTAGTCCAATAATATAAAAAAAAACTCTATTACTCAGTTGTGAACAAATGTAATGAAAAAGTCACAGTTTGATTATAGGTGTCAGTTATTATGTGCCTAATTACCATGGGATAAGAGTCACTTTATCCCGCCTCTACAACACTACGATTCCTAACATAACTAAGTCGATTTCGTGCTAGTCAGGGAAAGTTTTAGTACGATTCTTTGTCTATCTAACATGGAAATAAACCTCCAGTCACCTTCGCACTACTAGCCGCGGCTACTAGACCATAAATAGTTGATGGCAACATAGTTATATACAGGGTATCCGGTAAAGAATGGATAACCCTGAAATGCCTTTAGTATATCCCTTGGCCATTCCGAAAAAACAACGAAAAGGAAAGAATCGTAGGTAGTACCTAAATTATTATGTCTTGAAGTAAAAGAACTAGGGCTAGAGGTAACACAAAATGATCCTTTAACATTTACGTTCATTACATTATGGCATAACCACGATGATTAAACATTGCTTTAAAAATAAACTTTGCACGATTTGTCTATAATAAATTACTTTGCAAGTATTTTATAAAATATTTTTTTTTCGTAATTTTTTCGTATATTTTTTGAATGGCCGTAAGATATACTTAATGGTATTGCAAGGTTATCCATTATTTACTGGTCACACTTTATATCTAAATCTCAATGCTAAGACTAAAGTAACTAAGATTGCAACTGCAATTATGGGAACTTCAACTGCATAATATCATCTATATAATGATAGACGGTACAAAGTTCAATTCTCGAGTAATACACACTTAAGTGACTCTGACTAGAAATTCTTGTGATATTTTCATAAAAACTTATCAAGTTATCAAGTTCAAAATCTTGGAAACCACTAAAACGATTTTAATGTAATTGGGATGGAATGTACACTAAATACGTAATTTATCGATGACATAATAAGGTACATTTTCGAATAAGAGTTTACTAAGAGAGCGAGAAGATTCTTAGCATACCAGTTTTGAATTACTTATAGGTAACTGCTGAATGAAATATTATTTCGTGTTTTTATTTTAAGACTAGCTACTCTCGCGCAGTTTCACCCGCTGCTCGGCTCCATTTAATCGTAGCGTGATGTTTTATAGCCTATAGCACTCAGAAACATTGTAGCTATCTATCAGTGAAAGAATTTTGGCAATCCGACCAGCGGTTCCAAAGATTACCCCCTACATACAAACTTACATACTTACAATTATACAAACTTACAAATTTTACCTCTTTATAATATTAGTATAGATGTGTTCAAAATATTTACAGTACGGTTCTTAATTTCGAAGATTTTAGACATGAAAGAATGTATAGAATAGCCCAGGGTGAAATATCGAATGACCCTTCTCACCCTGAGTGGAGCGAGAGGGAGTGTCAGACTCTTACTGACCAAAAAGCACCCCGTTCCTTCTCCTGCTGTAGGACGGGGCCGTGGTACCTAATTCGGTAGTTTCCAACTAGTCAAATTCAATACTATAAAAGTATTGAATTGTCAAAAACGATACTTTTCTATGAAATTTGTATGAAAAACTGAGTTATGACGTCATAGTTGTTTTGCGTCACATAGCTTACTTGTTTCTTAAAAATTAGTTAAAAATATCTAAATTTCAGTGTATCGAGCGATCGATGAATAAAATTATAATTATTTTTGAATATTCTATTGTATTGAAACGTCGAATTAATTTGCCGGCTTCATCTAGTTTTTCACATATAATTTGACGTGTAAAAGCGCCGTTTTATGGCCTATTTGCAAAAATAAATTCATTGTTTAAATCATTCATTTATGAATTACGAAAATTCCTAATTGATAAAATTACAAACAAAAAAAGAATGTAGGTAATATATATAATATCAGCAGGATAGTAGGATTAAACCCAAAAAAAAACATTTAAAATGTAATTATAGGTCTTTCACTATGTATATTACCTACCTACACAAGTTTACGCGTTCATACTAGTATGCATATATGTATAATATGTATTGTATACTAATTCTAGACACCTCATAATTACTTATGGAACGTTTTTAACTCTTTCGCATTAAAAAACTACTGAAAACATCTTAATGAAATTTGGCACAGAGATAGATTAAATAGTCTATACTAATATTATAAAGAGGTAAAATTTGTAAGTTTGTATGTAGAGGGTAATCTTTAGAACCGCTGGTCCGATTGCCAAAATTCTTTCACTGATGGATAGCTACAATTTTCCTGAGTTCTATAGGCTAAAAAACATCACACTACGATTAAATGGAGTCGAACAGCGGGTGAAACCGCGCGAGAGTAGCTAGTCTGAAATAAGTAACACATAGGCTGTTTTTACCCTAGAAGGTAGGTATCTTTTGCGGGCGAAGCCGTGGCAGAAGCTAGTATTTTCATACATATGAGATTTTACTCGACCAAAAAAATATGACAGATGTTTCTTACTGTTTCAAGTTAAAACTAGGAACAGATTAGATCTTAATGGGGCACAGAGATAGATTAATAGTTTGAAATAACACGTAGCCTAATTTTTACCCTACGGCGGGCTAAGCCAAGGCAGAAGCTAGTATTTTCATACATAATAATATGAGATTTAAGTTAAAACTAGGTACCGTATGGGTCTTTACGAAAGGGGATTGGACTCTTGGATTCGCTTTTTGAAGCGTATGGCCACTTAAGCAAATCTATAATATTTAATGTTAAGTATGTCAGTTAAGAATAACATAGTCTACTATTTACTTCGGAACTAAGAGGCTAAGCCGTGGCAGAAACCGGTTGGAAACACAAATTATTTTGTTAAAACACTTAAAAATCACACACACACACACACACACACGTACACATGAACTAAAAAAAAACTAGTTTTACTTTCGTATTGACGTAGAATTTCACTGTTGGTTGAACTAAACTTGTAATACATTAAACGCGGCAAAGTAGACAGACAGCGAATGTCAAGTGATTCTTAATTTAAAAAAAAATACACAAAACTCACAACCAAAAAGGTTTTAAACACTAAAAAGTTTACACACCACATTGTTAGGTTATGTTTTTATTAAATAAACTATTGAAGATAAGTATTTACCTTATTTTTATGTGTTGAAGTAGATAAAATAATCTTATTTATCGCGGACACGAGTTGCGGGGCCGGCGGTTAGGCCCGTTATGAGTAAGATAAGTACTACGCTACGGGACCGTGGACAGTGCCACGCGCAAGCCACACACATAATTGCCCACTTTAATTTTTACTGCGGCCCGCATTCTAGTTTTAATATTATCATTGTGAACTGGGAAGCCGTCTCCTCTTTCTGTGAAGCACTTGCAAGCTAGCAAGCTCGCAAAGAAGGAGGCCGGTTTAAGTGTGGGAGAGCCATGCTTCGGCACGAATGGGTCGGCTCGACCGGAGTGATACCACGGCCTCACAGAAGACTGGCGTGAAACAACCACAGCGTTGTGTTTCGCCGTGTGAGTGAGGTTACCGGAGGCCTAATCCTTCCCCGCCCCCAATCCCTCCTCGAACTAAATCTCGAAATCCCTAATCCCTAAAAGGTCGGAACGCACTCGTAACTCCTCCGTTGCGGGTTTATCGATGGGCGGCGCTGATTGCTTACCATTAGGTAATCCGTCTGGTCGTTTGCCGACCAATTATATAAAAAAAAAAGGCGGACGGCATGAGGGAGCTATCCTCTTGCTCACGCCCGAGCCGCCGCAGGGTGTCGGGGCG